CCTTAGGTCAAAGAGCTTAAAATGATCGCATTAGAAAGCTGCTTTGCCAGGGTGATGTAACGCCCACTAAAGAGAACTGCTCTATCGGTTTGACACGGAAATGAATGATATCAAAGCTAATAATAATAATAAATAATTAATATAATAATAGGCTATTATTAGCTCTTTGATGATATAATTGTGTGTTATTATATATTCGCCTTAACGAGGAGTGCCCTTATACCGTATAACCGTCAGCTGGTGTGATAACCGTGGGTGATTACGCCCTGTGTGATTCCAGCAATGGTGAGGCTAACAATGTGATCATAGGCGACAGCAGGACTCACCGAAGTTATTGTCGGCGATAACAGGCAGTAAGGTGTGCTGGTGCAATATTCATACTAACTATGGTACTATAGTGACTCTATTATATATATATATTATACATATATATTACTTATATAATGAATATATATATTATATAACATATAATATATATATATAAATATATATAATAAATATATATGTGAATATATATGAAAATATATGAATATAAAAATAGAAAGAGGTGTCAATCTTGTATATTATTCATATATTATCTCATCTATTTATATATTATTATATTTTTTAATCTATATAAATCTGCATAGGTGTCCGTGTGTTTTTTATTATATATATATATATATATATTTATTTATTTATTTATCAAGCTAGTTGTGCATGCCACCGCAACAGGAACAACCGCACACCATAGCAACCCCAGAATGCGGTTGGCAGTACAACAGAAGATGCGGTTCTGTAGAAGTTACACATTATCGAGGCCATTATTAAACGCGAACCCGAGCATGTTTAACGTCCTTATATATTGTATTTCTAAAACGAACTCGCGCATTTGTCTGCAGACGCATTTGTGTAGCGACAATCAGCTTGAAGTAAACCGCTGACGTTCCCAAATAATTGTTGACGAGGACAGTAATTAGCAATGTGACGATGATGTTGTTACTTTACTGGGAACGATAAGGTGGTACGAATTAAAATCACTCGGTGTCAGTTTTACAGCAACCTGAGAAGAAACATTGCGTAATCGATTTTATATCCCGTTAATTATAAATTAAGAGTACGAAGCACCGCGACTTATGAAAAGGCATCGTTCAAAAACGCCTATTTGTACAGCTGCATGCATGGCTCCGCAAGCAATCGTTACTGTGTCGCTGTGCACGCTATGCTAAACTTAACGTCAGATGGATCAGTAACTGGCATGTACTAGGAGGCTACCTAAGAGGAGGATATCGTTTGCGATGTCATTCATTCCGAAAGCATATATGTAAACGGAATTCAAGTAAGCGCGTTTCCACCAGTTTTATCATATAGGTTTTGTTCATTCTGACGTGTAGCAGACTCGTGCGCATGATGATGTGCACACGCACGTACTCTCAAGCACGCACACACGTACGCACACACGCACTCATGCACGCGCACATGCGCGCAGTCGCATACGTAAGAACGCACGCACGCACATAATTATACACACTCAAGCACGTACGTAGCGTACGCTATATATATATATATATATATATATATATATATATATATAGCCTCTTTCACGACAAGACTAAACGACCCGAGAATGTGAACGGATGGTTGGCCTTAAAAGATTTCAATAAAATATCACTTATATAAAAATTGGCGTCAGAGACAGCATTTACCGTTTTGGCCGCATCGTCGGTACCACGTGTACTCGGCAATAAATCACCATTAAATTACAGATAGCCGCTCAATTCTCTCCAATTAAATCCCCTCCGTAAGATTGCCGGTAATTGCGGATGCGTGCCGCAGGGACCGCGGACAGCGCAATGCAGCACGTATACTCACCAATGAATGGGTAGAGGAACTGCATGATCGACAGCGCATAGAAGCCACCGCGACCAAATGCAACCTGCACCATTCCTTGATATGTGTTGGTGTCGGTGAGCTGGCCACTCCGTATTAACAGCAGGATGGAATAGTCTGGCGAACAAATAGAAACGCAATAGTCGATGTCGCGCATTTGGGTTATCAATATTTGCATGCCGTCATTCAGCTATATATATATATATATATATATATATATATATATATATATATATATATATATAATATATATAATATAATATAATTATATATATATATATATAATAATAGAGTCCACTATAGTACCATAGTTAGTATGATATATGCACCAGCACACTTACCTGCTGTTATTCGGACAATAACTTTCGTGAGTGTGTCGCCTATGATCACATTGTAGCTCACCATTGCTGAAATCACACAGGGTAATCACCCACGGTTATCACACAGCTAGGGTTATAAGGGCAACTCCTCAGTTAAGCGAATATTATACACACAATTATATCATCAAGAGCTAATAATACCTATTATTATTATTATTATTATTATTATTAGCTCTTGATATCATTCATTTCCGTGTCAAACCGAATAGAGTTCTTTAGTGGCGTTACATCACCCTGGCAAAGAGCTTCTAATGATCATTATAAGCTCTTTGACCCTAAGGGCGATTACAATAAATATGTGGGTAATATATGGATTATTTCGGCATGATGACGAAGTTCCTGCAATAATTCGAAAAACCCGCCCCTTAATAATTGCGCTCGTACGTCAGCGGACACAATTTAACGTCTGTTTGTCTGAACACCGTACACGTACGAGCATACGCTCCCGCTTTTTCGCATAACCGCGGCTAATCAATATGCATTTACATATTAATTACATGCAAATTGCTCCCACTTTTGCGATAAGCAAATACCATTGGCTAAAAGCGCTCATCGGTCGCACCACGGGGAATTGTCACGAACAGCTATTTCTAATTTACCGCACAACGGAGAGAAGCTGAGCTATGTCGGAATAATATCCCAGTACAGCATGCCGTACGTAACGTCGATGTATGCGTCCCAGCTGACATTTTTGCTAACGTCACGTATATATATATATA